TCTCACAAGTCCTATTTATCATGGGAAAACTGTCAGTGTGAGTCACACGATGGTTCGGGGGCTGCTTTGAATTTTCTCCCCTGAAACACCATTTTTCGGCCAAGTTTGGTGCGTATTCGGCTCTAACTCCCTTTTTATGAGTTTGAATTACATTCTGTCAGTTCTCACAAGTCCTATTTGTCATGGGGAAACTGTTCGTGTGAGTCACATGGTGGTTCAGGGGCTGTTATGAATGTTCGCCCCCAAAACGCTCTTTTTTGACTAAGGCCTCGTTTGGGAACAGACTAATTTAGTAACTTTTTGGCTATTTGGCTAAAAAAGTAGGTAAAAAAAACTTATATGTTTGGGATGACTTTTTGGCTAATTACGAAAAGATGTGCAAATAGTAGAGAGAAAAGAGAATCTTTGACTTTTTTGTATGAGTTGTTGGCTTTTTGGCTAAAAATGTAACTTTTTGACTTTTTGGCTAAAAAGGTAAGTCCCCAAACGGGGCCTAAGTTTAATGCATTTTCGGCTCTAACTCCCAAACTACGTGTGCTAACTACATTCCATCTGTTGTCACAAGTCCTATCTGTGACAGGGAAGGTGGCCGTAACATCCATACAGTCATTCGGGGGCTGATTCGCATTTTCGCCCCCTTAACGCCCGTTTTCGGTTAAGTTTAATGCATTGTTGTCCTATTGGAATCCAAGCGGAAATCATTTTCTTTACTCAAAATTTTTAACTAGCAAAAGGCTTTTCAATGTCAAAATTTTCACTGTGGGGAGTATGTAAACCAATCGAATATAGCAACCATTTGAGTCAAAATCAAAGCCATAAATGCACACCCACAACCCATACAAACAAAACCAATATCTTTTCCTCATTAAAAACCTGGATAGCATATCTATCCCACAATCCACACCTTAAAGCCTTACCACTAATAGCAGTTCCCACCATCATTTTGTAAGGGCCCAATTCCAATCCACTATCATAGAAAGAAACAAGAAGGTAACATAATTAATATCATATCTTCATATAAAGAAATACAATGACAATGAATACCCACCAGTGACCCCACATTTGATATTTCTCCCACTTGAAATGGAGCTATTGGGAACCATTGTAACTTTTATTTATCGAGAACCATTTAAATACATGTTCATCACTAATTGAGATGAAAATTACCCACCAAAAATAAATAAATAAATTGATATGAAATGGAGCTACACATATAGAATTATAGATGTTCTTGTGAATGATGAGTTGAAAAGGACATGCACACCAGAGAATTATTATGACAGCACATTGAGCATCTTGTGCATACACTAGACTAGCAAGAAAAATCAGGGGTTTCTAACAATTACCCAATTAAAGGCTAAGCAATATATTCAAATTGTGAGTTTACATATTATAAACCCGACATAGTATGCTACTTGCTTTCTATAGCATCTCTTAATGTTCTATTATTGTGACAGCAATAAGTGTCAACAAGATCCACATAATATTAGCATGTATTTATCCCCTACTTTCCATTTTCAATGATGTCAATTTGTCAAATTTTGTATTCAGTCAACGTTATGGTTATATCAGCAAAATACAGATGTAATTACTCTGACATGGGTGCAAACTAAACAACAGGTAAAGTGAAGTTTACTTAACATGGAATGCTAGTGAATTGTTAAACAAAAGTATACTTTCACTTAACATCAATAGAATGGTAAGACGAATTGTTAAACAAAAGTATACTTTCACTTAAACATCAATAGAATGGTAAGACAACTACATAATAATACATTCTGTTTATGATGCGCACCAATAAACAAGATTACAAAGAAAATTTGGTACTTCAATGCACATTACGTAAAATTGTGAACATGATATAATTATCGCCAACATGTGGTTGTTAACCACTTCCAAACTCTCCTGTTTAGGTAACAAAATTTCTTTTTCCCCATTAAACTTCCAGAATTTCAACCAAGTAATCTGCATTCCATTATACTACATCCAAATTCAATTCCAATTATGAAAAACCAGAGAATTAATATGCACACGTGTATATGCAATTGTGCATACAAATACGTACATACATATGTTATATATACATATATATATATAGAGAGAGAGAGAGAGAGAGAAATCACCATCCAGGCAGAAGATTGTTGATGCCCCGACACTGTAGATCTAGACCCGCTGACCCAACAAGGTGTACTATATATTCATTTGTATTGATTAATTGAAGCACTTCTGTACTACTATTTTTAACATTTCTAATAAAACTCTTTTGAAATCAAGAAAAATTCAAATCCCAAACCCTATTTGAAATCAAGAACATTAAAAGCCATCTGTTTGACGGTTTTTTCAAGGTGAAAAAGTCTTACCCAAATGAATTTTGCAATCTTTTCACAGCAAAATAAAAGAATAAAAATGCTTGCAAGTATGTGCATAGAAAATACTAAAAAGAGAAGACCACATAAAGAACAACTCAGAGGAAATTTATAAAATGGTCTCCAAAATCAGAAATTCTTACTAATAAAAATCAAATATTACATTCAAATTTACCAAAAGGAACCCAATACACAATGCAAAATATATGAAAGAAATAACTAATTAAGAGGAAACAAAATGAAGTACAAAAGAGTGGACAGGGTTTTAGGGATTTCAAGCCGTACCTCTTCAATGAGAACTCTTTCGAACAAATAAGCTACTGAAAAAGACAAAGATCTTCAAGAAGCCTTCGAAAGCAAGAGACGAGAGTGAGAAATGATAAAGAGCAAGAGAACGGATAGAGAAATCACAAATAGAGAGAAAGGGAGAGAGAGAAACCATAGATTCCATAACATATGTGTGCTTCCTCAAGTAATTCCAGTACCTACACAAGTAAAAAAGTTGAGATGAAATAGAGTAGTTTTTATCAAAGTAAAATGATTGAGTAGTCTACGGAATTATCTCCATAACCATATCATGCTTTCTTAATACGTTTACCACCCAAATGACCACCGTGTACGATGAAACAATGGCATCATTTACAATAAAAATGTTGGACATTTATTACATGTCAAACTCTCCCTTTTTCGAATAAGTTTAAGTCGTTTCCGGCTCTAACTCACAAACTACATGTGCTAATGACATTCTGTCTGTTGTCACAAGTCATATATGTCACGGGGAAGCTGGCCGTGACATCCCTACGGTGGTTCCGGGGCTGTTTCGATTTTTCACTCCCTTAACGCCCTTTTTCGGTTAAGCTTAAGGCATTTTTGGCTCTAACTTCCAACCTACATGTGCTAATTACATGTCGTCTGTTGTCACAGGTCCTATTTGTCATGGGGAAGCTGGTTGTGATATCCGTATGATGGTTCAGGGGCTATTTTGCATTTTCGCCCCCTTAATGCCCTTTTTTAGTTAAGTTTAAAGCATTTTCGGCTCTAACTCGCAACCTACACATACTAATTACATTATGTCTGTTGTCACAGGTTCTATTTGTCATGGGGAATTTGGTTGTGATATCCGTACGTTGGTTCGAGAGCTGTTAGGCAAATTAAAATTTTTAGGGATCCCAATGTAACTATGCCAAACATGTTGAGTTCACTGTAATTTTTTTTTTTTTTTTCCAAATCTTAGTGGAGTCCAGTGAAATTTACCCTTAGGAAAGTATGTAACATAAAGATAATGAGATCCATAATAATAAATACATATGAAATCCATCATCTTTGAGTTTAGAAGTAGTAAATCGAAAATTGGGTAAGAAATAATACTTAACTAAATTATAGCATTTCACAAAATCACGGAAAATGGGATAACGTCACCCAAAAAAGAATGTTGAAACACAAATTTGTCACCAAAAAAAGATTAAAACAATTTCGCAATAACAGTAAGTATCTACCCTCAAGTTTGATTGACAGAAAATTTATTTCTCTTTGCTACCAAAAAGCATCCAAAGCATGACAACAAACACAACTTAACCAAAAAAATAACAATAAGTCAAGGAACATAAACATTAAACACAGAACTTGACAAACAAGTAAAATTGCTCCTCAATCTCTACTGTTGGTAGTCATATAATTGGATTTGACATTTATACTTTTGTGATACGGTAGCCTTGTAAATGTGTTTGTATTCTTTCCAAGAGGTTTAGTTAATCCAACCTATCATAATGAACGCGCAAAAAAAAAAAAAAAAAAAAAAAAAAAAAGGTGAAAGGTGAATCTACATGAAATAACCAATTAACATTGAGCAAAAATTCAGAAGAGACCAAAAGAGAAACATTTTCATCAAATTCCTATTTGATATAAGAAAAGGTGAAAGGTTGGAGATGCTCTCAAGTCCTATATATATAATTTAGTACTTACACCTAAAAGATATAGTTTAGCGAATTACTAGGTGTGTAGAGCTATGTATCAAGAGGAAACACATGAGATTTCCCAATCCATACAATGAATATAGTTCTTGATATTTTCATTCTCTACTCTTCTTAGTAACAAATTTGTGTTTCAACCTTCCTCAAAATTTGCTTAAATCTGTGGTAACCAATATGTGTTACTAAATAGTTTAGAATTAGAATACCCCAATCATGTCCCAAATTCCTACTTAATCCAACTTGAATTTGGGATTTCTGTGTAAAAATCAACACAAACCCTACACCAAGTGTGGGAAATCAACACAACATTAACTCAACACAAAATTAAACAACAAAAATCATATAAAACCCTAGGGCAAGTGTGAGAAATGGGAAAATAGAGGAAGGAAGATAAAGAGAGAGGGAGACCGATCTAGCTAATCGGAAAATGGAACTCAACGCTCTGAATCTTCCAAATACTCATTAGAATCTCACCATCCAAACGGTTAGTAAACAAGAAAAGGTTCTGCAACTCACTCAGCAACCCTAATTCGCTCGGGATTTCCCCCTCAAGTTGGTTGTCATACAGCTGAAGATCATTGAGGGATTTCAAATTGCCAAGCTCAGGTGGTATTCTGCCCAATAAACGGTTTTCACAAAGGTAAAGAAGTGTCAGCTGGGTTAATTATCCGAGAGAATGTGGGATAGGACCGGTTAAACCACAACGAACAGCGGCAAGTTGAGTTAAGCTACTACAATTTCCCAACCCTGGTGGAATACCACTGCTAAAATAGTTGAAAGACAAGACCAAAGTGTCCATTTGCTTGAAACTACCCAAACCCAATTGAATAGTACCCTCTAGACTGTTATTACTAACATCAAGATACATTAGCTCCTCAAGATTATTCAAACTCTCCGGTAAATCCCCAACAAATTGATTATCATTCAAGTAAAGTTCTACCAATTTGGTACAATTTCCTATGGAGGAAGGAATGGTGCCTGACAATTGATTACCATATAGCCAAAGAGATAAAATCTCACTCATGTTGCCAACATTCAATGGGATCGAACCATTAAGTTCGTTCACATCGAGCCAAACAGTATCCAAATGTGGGATTCGAAATAGAGATTCAGGGATTGACCCTTTCATGAAATTAGAATACAAGTTTATGAATCTCAAATTCAGCAAATTCCCAAAGCTCTCTGGTATATCACCAGTGAAGCTGTTTTGGGAGAGTTCCAAGTATTCAATGAGACTACAATTACCTAATTCAGAAGGGATTGAGCATGTGAAACCATTGTTGTTGAAATCAATGGACTTCAATTGGGTCAATTCAGCTATCTCAAGTCCTAATCGACCCAATATTTGAAAACCAAAGAGGTTTAAAGAAACTACAAAGTGGTTGTGGTGATGATTGGAGTCACATTCGACTCCAACCCATGAACAAGGAGTGGAATTACATTCGACTTCAATTGAATAATTTTGAAGCCCCAAATTCAATTACTCGTATGATAATCAATCGCAAAAATACACAAACAAACTCAGAAAAAAGAAAGAAAAAATTAATAATTATGATGAGAAATGATCAATCTCGTACCTATAGATACAATGCTATACAACAAAGAGCCAGAACGAATCTCTGTACGCCATTCCCAACCGTTTCAGATCGGATTCCTGTATCGATCGCCACCGACCCATTAACCCTAGAAATGTTCAGTGTGAAGCGTCCGGCTCCCATGTCCTCTGTGGCCAAGGTGGGTTGAACCGGGTTCACAATCAATTCGAGGGAGCCGAGAGGGTAGTACGAGTGATTGATTCTGTGTGTGAGAGAGAGAGACAGGGAGTGCAAGAGAGAGAAAGAACCGTGTGAAGAAGTAATAGATTTGGGCAAAAATTTAGGTGCCAATATGAAATTTTTCCCAGTAAAATTTTGAACAGATTTGGCGACTAAATTTTAGTGGCTGAAGATAGCTTACCAAAGATTAAAAAAAAAATTACTTTTTGTCAGTTAAAAGCGACTAAAATAATTTTTTATTGCTGAAAGTAAGTTTTGGTGACTAAAACTTTAGTCGCCAAAGAGAAAAAATAATTTCTTTATTTTCTATTCGGTAACTAAATATTTTAATAGCCAAAAGTCAATATACAGTGACTAAATTTTTTTTTTTTATCGCTGAAAGTAAGCTTTTGGCAACTGAAACTTTAGTCGCCAAAGAGAAAATAATTTTTTTATTTCTCATTCGGCGACTAAATATTTTAGTAGCCAAAAATCAATATACAGCGACCAAGTTTTTTTTTGTCACCAATTCTAACATTTTTAGTGACTAAATTTTTTTTTAGTCGCCAATAATTAATATACCCGACTAAAAAAAATTAGTAGCAAAATATTTTATTTTTGCCGACTAAAAAAAAATGTTGGTCTTCAATTCCATAACTTTTGGCGACTAAATTTTGTTTTGTTGCCAATTTTGATCACCAAAGGTGCATTTTGTTGTAGTGAATTCAACAAAGCCTTTCTCTCAACATCTCTGAAAATGTGACACAGATATAAAGAGATTTTTCTGTTGAACACCTATATGTTGAAGACACAGAGAGAAATCCTCCATTGACACATTCTATTGAATTTTTTCTATCCGTAATTTCTGTCTATTGAACTTACAGATAGAGTTCCTTTTTGAAATAAAAATAGTCCATTTCAAACATAAACAGATCCAGATCTATCAAACAGAAACAAATAAAAACCATTTCAAATAGATCAATCAAACAAAAAGAAAAAACAATTTCAAGAAAGATTAAAAATAGAAAAAATATAAACAGAAACAAAAGCCAAACCAAACCAAGATTTGACAAGAAAAAAATAGTAAAGCTAGATATGGATTTGTTTCTGTTTGGTTTGGTTCGGATTCAAGTTCGGGCTTCTGTACCTCACAGGCCGACGTATTCTCGCTTCTCTGCGTATCACCAACAACCTCAAGAGAGAAAGAGAGAGAGGAGATAGAGTTCTGAGAGAGTTCGATCCCGCCTAAAAGATGAGCAAGAGTGTCTAGAATGAACTGAGACTTTCTCTTTAAGCAATGAAAATGATAAGGTGTAGCGGTTAATTTCAGTGACATGGTTGTCAGATTCCAGCCAAAATCCACTGGAGATCTGCTTTGTTTTCAATGGAGTTTCGGAGATTAGTGTGTAACACCAACAGTGGTCGCAGGCGGTTGGGTTAGGAGGTGACGACGTCGAGGGCGGTGCAATCAAAGAATGTTAGCAAAGGAGGAGTGTGTGAGAGCTACGGATCTCACGGTTGGCGGTGGTGGTGGATTTGGATCTGGAAGCGATGAATCTGGTCTCGTGGTTGAGGACAAGCAGCGGCGGCCCCATCGACGTGCCAAACGTGGAGAAGGACAATGGATAACGGTGGCGACAGTGGTTGATTCGAAGCTGCCGTTGTTAATTTGCGCGACGAGAAAGATTGGATGTTGTCGTAGATGAGAGAGAAAATAATGAAACCCTAGAAAAATGTTGGGAATCTCAAATGTTTTACTAAGGTCTCGTTTGGGAACAGGTTAATTTAGTAATTTTGTAATTATTTGACTAAAATATGAGCTAAAAAAAATTAGTATGTTTGGGATGACTTTTTAACTTTTTATAAAAAGATGTGCAAAAAGTAGAGAGAAAAGAGAATCTTTGACTTTTTGGTATGAGTTGTTGGTTTTTTGACTTTTTTAGTAACTTTTTGACTTTTTGGCTAAACAAATCACAAAAGATAAAATTGGTTATATAAGTCAATAAGACAAAATGTCACATCTCCAAACCATAATCATTACACTTTTTCTCTCAAAAAAGTCAAAAATAAGTTTGTAATTTTTTTTCGATCATGCTACATAGCTCGAAAACAGGGAGCCCGAATGGCTCATTTTTTTTTTTAAACTCAAATTCATATAAAATTAAATTATATATTTTATTTAACTTTAAGGGTTGTTTGGGATAACCTAAATAAGTGTACTTTTTGTCTTTTTACGAAAATATGTGCAGAAAAGTAGAGAGGTGATGTGATAGAAAAAAGAT